CAAAATGATACACTTCTTGTGCTTTTCATCCAATCGCCACATATAGGTCATAAGTGCCTGGTCACCGTCCCTTTACGATCAACTGGTACCCAATCACCGCTCCTTTCCAGGTAGCCTGTCGCCGAGCACTGTCGCCTTTCTCTGCGGACCCACCCGCTCGCCGTGTCGCCGATAGTGGCCCATACATCATCTCCGTTTCTGGGTGAGTGGCGCGGCACCATCCATCGGTCGTCCATTCACACGCCCGGGGAGCGCTCCCCGCTCCCACCGGGTTGTGTTCTGTCCCCAGTCCCCACACACCAGCTCCAGGTGATCGTGCGCCGCACAGCACGGGGCCGATTGTGCCCCGCCGCCGCCCGCGCCGCCTCTCCGCCCGGCGGGGAAGGGGGCGGACCGGCGCGGCGGGGACGGATGCGACGAACGGGGGCGGCCGGCGGCGCACAGGAGCGTACGGCAGCCGCTCCCACGGACGCTCTGAATGGAACCGGACAATGGTGACAAGAGACGGCCACCCTCTCTCACCGGCGCGCACGCAGAGGTGTTTTCGACGGCTCTGAAAACGATTTGATGTTTGCATGGAAGCGACTATTTTCGCGAGCGCCCGGCGAGGAAGGGAACATGGGACGGCCTCGTAAACGGCGTCGTTTAGAAGTTCGTTACAGCGCTGATGGGCTCTTTAAACTATAAGATTACCGTGCCGGAAGATTACTATTGGACAACCCAAAATAGATGTAATGAGTTTTCGCAACGCACGAGTTATAGGCACGGCACGACATAAAAGAGCGGCGAACGCGGCCCGTTACGGTGCCAAGTTGTCGCCGTTTGTCGCACATGTTCCCAAGTGGCTGGGAATGGCCATATGAGGCCCATTGGCCGCCCATTGAAGCCCCATCTGACGTCCATATCTCGGCCGGGCTATCCCGTGTAACCGGTATCGACGGGGCCGATCGGTAAAACCCGCCCTTCGCTGTCATTAGCACCTGTTAATTAAGCGATTAAGGCGGCCACTACGGTAATGGGAGAGCACGCCCACTCCTCCATTTGGGAGAGGTGTTGTTCCGTGGGTCATTAGCTCCTTTACTGGAACGGCGGCTCCTTAACGGTGAAACAAACTTGGTTCGGACAGCCGCGCACTTTGGTTTTTATACGTAGCTGTCTGTTATAAGTAGCCTAATTTCGTGAACATGATTTAGGCATATTGACTCATTCATTGAATTATATCTTATCACTTACGAGCCAAAGCCAACTGATAGCAATGACCTTGGACGCTGGATGCCAAATTAAGAAACTAACCTGTAGGAGACTTGCATGTCCCGAACAAGAAAATGGTGTCAATTGTGTAATGTGCTGGAATGCACACAAGTACGACTCACTTTTTTTTAGGTCAACAGCGAATAATATAATTTCTAAGAACCAGATACCTCTCTCTGTTTCGAGCACAGTTTAGTTCAACTGCTAAATTAGAGACTGCCATTTCCATCCATCACGTTCGGCAATCACCGATACACCTCGGCATGTACCGATCGGCGCTGGGTCGCCCCGCCCCGTGTATGAGGCCGTAACTGCAGGGCAGAGAGCAGCAGCCGCCCATGGGCGGCTGGTTAACGGCAGCTCAAAGTGGCCGATCGCGTGCCACACTGCTCTCTTCTCTCGTGCTACGATGCTCTCCTCTCGCGTGCCGGCACCTCCATAGGCAGACGCAGACCCTCCCTTGAGCAGGGCGCCGTTTCACTCAGCGGGTCGGTTTCCAGAATGGAACATGATAAATTGTGAGAATAGAGCGCGGCCGAGCCACCTCAAAGATAGTCCGACGGACGAGTTCCAGTTCAGAGAACCGGTTTATCGAGGTATCATTATAGCTAAACTGAGGGATCGCCAGTGTTCCACGATAATTATCTCTGTTCCGCTGTCTCATTTCTTCAAGCGTTTAACCACAAGGTGGAAATTTAACTGCCGAACATAACGTTATTGAAGCGCCATAAATAAGGCTCCAATAACACACTGCAATATGTTGCAAGACATAATCGCTCCTAAGACAGCTTTAAAACTACCGACATATATATCTGGTCTTTTGTTTCCTCGAAGAACTGCAGATATGCGTGTGTAAAAATGACTCACAAAAGTACACGGCATCAGCGCAGATGAAGATGGCAATCGATCACGAATCGGCGCAATTTATTGTCTGTCACCAGCATAAGATCAAAGACAGTCAAATATTTTTTCATGTGTGTTACGCAATATATTAGGCAAGTATTACGCAATCATTCCACAAAACACATGCTCATGTGATGCTGTATGGGATGATATTTGTCGCATTCAACGCAGAAAATCGAAAGCTCAAAGATCACCACTGCAATAAAAGTCCAAGAGACAGCCTGAGCTGCAGCTAGCCGACCAGCTGACGCTCCGCCCCCCCCCCTCCCCTCCGCCGCTGGCGCTGACTGACCAGCTCCCGGTCCGCGTCCGTTTATAAACTTTACAGCCGCTTCGTTAGGCGGTAGGTTCGCGCGCGGCCGCTCCGTTTATTGCAGGGCCAGAGGCCAGCCGTAAAGGCAGACCGGGCCGTCTTTGTCCCTCCAGCGAGGCTGCTCCAGTTCTGACCCATGGTAAACCAATAAATGGTGCGGAGGGTATAGGTCGGCCGTCCCTGGTGGACGCTGCCGCCGCGGCTGGTCGACCGGCCGACCGGAACCGTAAAACAGCATGCCGCCGCTCCGCAACACACGCAGATGCGAGCCAGTTTGGAGCCTGATAAAATGCTTCATACTATCCTAAAAATCGTCGAGAACCTTTTTGGAAATGTACAGAAAATTATGTTATCGTTCACCTCTACAAAATGTTTTTACTCGCCATCAATGCACCCCTAATACAGGTGTAGATAAAATTCAGATGGTATTGCATTAAATTTCACATTGCCTTTTCTTCTGTTGTCACAGATGAAGTACTTGTTCTAAGAGATTTCAACAAGAAATTCAATAAATGTGTAAAGGTATGTGTAAGATAAGCACAAAGTAGGCGATACCAATATTGATAAGATTGCTATCCTTCACCGTACTCGTCAACATTTTTATTCAATTTTTACATTTTAGCCCATCCTGCACAGTGCGTGCTGTCTTCTCTCCTCACGATCTTCACAATTTCACAACTCCTCAGCCCTGTGTCCGGGCAGTCCGATCGTGTCCCTCGGACACAGCGGCAGGTGGCCGCCGGACACGACACCGTCTCACTCGCCGTCCTGTCACGCTCCACAGACCTGCACGGCCACGTTTTTACCCCAAATGGCCCCGAAACGTGGCTTGGCCGCCCCCGCCGACTGCCAGCCAGGTATGTGGGCGAATTGTGCACAGCGAACCCCGCGCGCACAGCACACACGTGCGTATACGTGTCAGTCCGGCGGCGACAGTGCCAGAAGAACCTTCAATAGGCTGTTGTTTACGGCTGGGTAGACGTAAGTATGATGCCTTTTTAATATGCCGTATGTGTTTTTGTGTTTGAGGAGTAGAGTACCGCGTCAGCTGGCGGGCGGCCCGGTGGAATAGAGCCGCTCGACACGCGACGCCCGAATCCCGCCTTCGCCGCCGCCGCCGCCGCCACCGCCCCCGCCCGACGTCGGCCGTCTCGCTGTACATAGGTACAGGCATAATGGTGCGGTGTTTGCGGGCGGAGCCGGCCGGTTGTGCGGTTTTCAGCCGTCCAAACCGTGGGAGCGGCAAGATCGCCCACCGCTGTGTGATTTCGCATTCGTTCTGCACCACTCGCAGAGTGGGATAGTGGCGGGCCGGGCCGGGAGTTTAGTGTTGGACCGGGCCGGAGTTGGTGAGTCCAACGATTGCGGTCGGTGGTTGGTGTGGGTGGGAAGGCTCATCCACCGGTGCGGGTCGGTGGGTGCCGTATGGGGGTGGGAGCTGGGAGAACCTCACTCGCCAAGCAGACTGAAAGATGAGGTCAGTGTACTGTGGGTATGGGACTGCAACGGCGAGTCACTGGGACAGCACAGTGGGCTCCAAGTTAAACGAACCGTAGTCAGACATTTTAGAGAGACAGACAGCGTCACCCGGCCGCTGGACTCGTCTCGAATCCACCGTGTTCTGACCGCGTTTATAGCGTGGAGGTCATAGCTGGCTCGCCGAGTCTGCCCCCGGCTCTCTGACTGTGCCGTTGTGATTGGCACCAGCGCGAAAGATGAACGGCTTACGATGCGCGCCCGCCGATATCGTTTGTTATTCGACAGTCGAGAATGAATAGCTCCGAGTGGCCATTCGGCAGATCTGGCAACACACGATACCGGCCGTTCATCGGCAGCGATGGCCGTCGATGGCCTATCTATCGACGACAGCTGCTCACTGGGGCGGCCAGAGATTTTAGCCGGCCGTCGGGGGCGGCGCCGATGCTGGGATTAAATGATTCATGGCGGCCTTGGGCTGAGGCCGGGGTGGCGAGGCATGCCTTGGCGTCAGTTTCATGGGCCTAGATGAGCCTGATTATAAATGGCTTCAGAAGCCTGCACCGGTAACGGTCCATGATTTGCAGTCAGATATTCCGGAATATACATACATCTAACAGGCACAAATATGAATCAAACTTCAGGTCTACGGTATGACAATGAGCGCCCACCATCCGTTCGCCGCACGGAATCACTGATGCACTCCATGAGCTATCAATCCCCGATACTGTCAGGTCCTGTTACCGCAGTGCTCGTGACCTGGCCCTTCCCGTGCCAATCCTTGTACGCGCCCGTGCAGACGGTACTGCTGTTTACACTCTGCATAACGTATGAGCCTCTCCTAGTCGCTCGTTGTTTACCGATATTGATGCTGTAGGTAGATATCCACCGCTCCCGCTGCCTGGATCGTATCGGCTCGGGACATCGTGGGGTCATATCGGTCAGACCGCAGTCCCTGCCGTCCCCCGGCCCCCATCCGGACAGTGGCGCCCCCTGGACGGTCGGAGGAGGCAGCCCTCGCCCGCCGCCGCCGCCGCCGCTCGAGCTACACCAGCCAGTACCGCCGGAGCGCGTGTGGGGAGTGCGGCGAGGGTCCGTCGGCAGAGACGCACGGAATCTCTCGGCCCGGGATGAGTATGTGAGCCTGCTGGTGACGAGTTGACGATAGACGAGAGACGGACTGACGGAGAGAGAGGTGGTGTTGGCGGGAGAGATGGCCGGAGGGGGCCGGCTGGAGGCCATCCTCGCACTCTGTCTTCTCGGACTGGCAAACGGTGAGTACCGAATCGTTGCCATACACATAATTTCACCCTGTCGAGTGTTGTGTGCAAGAAGGTGTACTATGGTGTACTATGGTGTGTGGTGTACTATGGTGTGTGGTGACTGTTGTGCTCACTGCTCAGCCTAACCGTAATAAGCGAAATATGAATCGAGACTTAAAAAACGGACTTAGTCGATCCCCTCGGCGTTGGTGATAAGAGCGGTGAAATATCAGAGTGTGCACGGTTTAATGATTAATAACGCTCCGGTTGCATATGCTAGTACGGCGTAACATAACCGTAATAACGCACAGGCTCGCCTCTGAAGTGGTAGTCTGACATGGTTGTAAAAATTGCGTTAGGCTATAATGCGAAATGATTTACATTTCATATCCAGCTGGGGTGAGGGTTGCGTTATATTAATGCAGGATTTGCATTTCATTGTCATGCATATGATGCCACAGCTAACGACCCAAAATTTCACTATAGTTACCTCTGGTGAGCGCGGAGATAATTTATAACAAATCTGGAGAAGCAACCACCTCCCTCATTCTTCTGAAGGGAAACTGCGTTTCCTACTATTTGACTGCTTCCATATTCATACCTATCCCAAATGGTCGAGCAACCGGCAATAACTAAAGCAACATAATTTGTTTGTAGGTTAACATATTCATTCAGTTTGTATCATCCAGGCCGCCACTGGACGCATCCTTGACAGCAGGATGCACGTTCATATAAACTAAAGAACACCTGGCACTGGCTGCATGATCCTCATAACCAGGTGCTGCTCATTCACATGTGGAAATACAGGTGCCCTGTTCATCAAAGCATTACCACATTTTTGCATAGAACATTTTATATTCATCATGTAGACCTTTCACAGGAAACTGCTTGCCTTACATGTCATAGAGGCAACGCCTATCATTGTTCATTTTTACACACTTACGGCTATAGATGCAACCGAAGATATTTTCTATCTGAGCTATTTACTTTGCATGGATAGATCGAGTAAGGTTCTGCATATGCATGCATGCATGCCATCGCATGAGAAATACAAGGGCGATGCCCTAACGTTTTTGGTGTTGTTCATAGGTGATATGCATATGAATAAGGTGTTCGCTGCTTTGTGAAACACAAGTAATGACAGCTTATTGCTGGCACAACCATTTTGGGAAAAACCCGTATGGTACGTTTTTGAAACATACTTCCGTAGTATGGAAAGCATATTGCACGGCCTACAGGGTCGGTCGTGTGCAAGCATGAACGGGCAGCCTTTATGTATGTATAATTGTAACTGTCGAGCTGACGTCGATTTAGTGAGCACTGAGCATAATATTCTTGCTATTTTTCTCAAAAGGAATTCATCACTCATAGTCATCACAATAACTTTAACGTAGTAACTTGATCCGTAATAATACGGCTAACATCAAGCATGCGTGCACAAAAGGCAGACTCGGAGCACTTAACTTCATCGCCGTATTACATCAACTTTGCAAAAATAAGATGTCATAAATTCATGTTCGTTCACTCTAACCGCAAGACCGTGCCTGTTATTGGGCGTGGTACACCTTTTTCCCTTTTTAACAATGCGCAATAAACATCCTTGTAGGTATAGGAATGCAAAAATGCGAAACCTAATGCTCATCTATCAGGTGTTTTCGTGTGCTGACCTGCTTGTCTTTTGTACACCATGACAACGGTTTCTTTCCTGTCGGACTTCTAACTCATTAATCATTCTAAATGGAAATCGAAGACACATTTATTCGTGTCTATAATGACTGTTCTTATTTGGCGTTGTGTATGAATGCTGGTTAGGTCGGTCCCAAGCGGACGGCTTCGTGAGTCAAAACATCCGGCAATGGACTGGTCCATCGTTTTTGGGAGCCACGATGTTCAAGTGGCATAAATTTCCATTTATGAGTGCTGAATTTGGCTCTATGATCGCACGGTATTGATTTGACCTAAAATGCTGTTGGCTTTTAAAATGATTGAATTGTTTGAAGCATGGAGAAGCATTCAGTCTTTTCTGAATACAATTGCTCTCAAACAGCTAACCATGTCATTACAAGACGCTAGCTCCTCTGGAATGTCGTTGTAAGATCAGCGTGCGATTATGAGCGGCGCATAGGCGTGTAACATTGTTCTCTCGCCACAGCCGTGTAAGTCCATATTTTAGCATGGCTATGACAAGCAGGATCTTCACATGTGTCAGCCGACACGCCTACAATGCATGTCTATGAAACTTGTTTGAATTAAATTATGGAATTAAATAGCCTCTCAGAAGAAGTTGATGCACCGGTCATACTAATCCGTCAGCCTCCGACATCCCGGAACTCGAGAGCAGGGACGCAAATTTTATGCCGATTTATCCGAGTCGGTCAATGCCAATATCAGCAGGATGTGGCGCCGGCCGCTGCCGGAGATCTCACGTCGCTTCTACTCGGGTGACGCTTCCAGGAGGCGGATCTGTCCCTGTCTAAACTACTAACAACGTGCACCTGTTCTTGGAACATAAGGAGCCCCGGGTGACCGACCGAGACCAGAGAGGCTCCGTGCAACTTGGGCCTGCAAACTTTGCATCGAACTCTCCCAGAAACACTATTTTAGGGCATGACAAATTGACAGTTGAGTAACTTGTTGCAGATGTCTTCAGCTGTGACAAGCAGACTTCAAGAGCCATGACAGTCTCGATGTTAAAATATAGCTGACGCTTGTTTCCAGCTTTGTGAGAGCTAAATGCACGTGAATGGACTTCATAGAATCATTTTTATTTCATTCAAGTTTCAGGTAAAAGTTGATTAATGTCATCGTATGAGTCTCAAACAATCGACAGTCAACATGGAGTTTTCATTTCGTCCGTTGAGATCATCGAGAGTCGCTTTGGGCTACGCTCTGTTCTTTCTCAGCCACATAAGCAGTCCTTCAAAAACTGCTACGCTCAGCCTCGCCATATTTCGCTGCGGTCGATAAAACTGCGCCGTGTCATGTCACCGCGCTGTGTCAGCCCGCTCTCTGACCGTCACCCGTCAGTCAGCTGTCACCATGACAGACGCACGCTGACCTGACCGCCCGGCCTGCCGGCTGTCACCTCGGCCCGCCTGTCAGCCGGCACAGTTGATACCAAGAGCGCTGATACCCAGAGCGCTGCCAACTGTCACAATCGATACCCAGCACGTTGATACCCGTCACACTTGATACCCAGATCGTTGATAGCGTTCACAGCAGCCTTATGCCCATAACGTCGATACCTGTCACAGTGGATACCCGCATGTTGATAACGTAACGATTACAGTTGATAGCCAAAACGATCGCAAACTGAGTCACCTCACCCAGACCACCCCAAATATGCATGTCACCGCTGCCAGGCACATCACCAAACCCATGGTTAAACTTCGGATCTTCATGCATCGGAAATGATGCAGCATCATACAGCAGTTGAGTCCAATCGGCATGCGTCGCTCGCGCGGTGACAAGGCCACTGCGGCGCCGTGACTCTCCCCTGGCGCCGTGACTCTCCCCCGTGGCCCCGCCAGAGCACACGGAACTGGCCAGCTCACGGCCTCCTGTTGACACCGGCCAATCGGTGACCGTATGGGAGGACATGTCCGCACTGTTTGGACTCTCTGAGTCGCCGCACCACGCGGCCGGCCGGTCATGTCTGTCCCCGCGCGGCCCTGGACAGACCCCACCCCACCCCACCCCGTGTCCCTCCCCCAGTGTCGGCGGAGGAATGCGTGCGGCACACGACGACGGCGGCCGATGGCAGTGCGCCGCCATTACGGCACCTATAATCAGTCCACAAAGGGACGTGAGTTGCATGCTGGCGGCTCTAATGTGAAACTCAGCCGGGCGGCGGCGCGCGACGGTGCAGCTCGCCGCTCGGCCGCTCCACAATGACGACTCTCTGCAGCCGGCGCACGGCAGCACCACTGCAATCATGGCAGACCGACGGCCGCATTACGGCTCGTGCCGGCCCGCCACCGACGGCGCTCTAAGGCAGAACGGGGCGATATGTTCTGGCTATGAGGGAGCTCGTTGAGTGAGTGGCCCGAACGCTGCAGTCTCTTCAGCGCTCGTGTTGGACTGCCTAATGTCAAATGGGTGGAGTGCCACGACAGCTATCCCAAATATCTGACCTTTCACGAGACTGAAATCGCACGTGCTGTGCTGTATCTCCACCAGCACGAAGCTGGTGCATTCGACCTTTCGCCGACCCCTTGCTGTGCCCTGCGGCGGAATCTGGGTGACCGCGGCGTCACGACAGCCGCTGACCTCGTCAGGGGTGACCGGGGCGGCACGGCGGACCGGCGACCTCTGCTGCGCCCGCGGAGACTGGCACGGCCAGCCCGCTCACCGGCCGCCGCACCGGACGACATGCGAGTCCGTCATTCTACCACCATTAGTCAAACGGGCCGACATAACTGGGCAGGCTGCCGCGATGGCCGCGAGGCACGCGGGCACCCGGGGGTCACCCACCGCCCCACCCACTCCAGTGGAATCTCAAAGGGCGCGGCCGAAACCAAACCGGCCAGAGACCTGGCCCGGACTAAAAAGTACCGTTCCGGCCCAAGTCACTTAAAACAAAGGGCCCACTGTTGTCGATGCCAGCAAACTGAGCGAAAATGTGGAGCAGTTGCCAAACTAGAAGACCGAGTGGGTTTTAGGGCCTGTCAAGCGGAGGCTCGGGAAGTTGGCCAACTCATGAAACAGCGACCATTCGGGTCAAGAGATGATGTGATCATGAGCATGTTGGATTGGTACGATCCCAGATTAGATCTGGGATTCATTAACGACCAGTCCAAACACGTTGAATCATCTCTGGCTCGCCGCAACGACTTCAGATTGAGGATGTGAGCTGGCTGCGGGCGCCGGGCGGGCGGCGGGCGGGGCGGGGCGGATGCGTGCATCAGTGCACTCACAGCTCGTCGCCTCTGATACAGGCTCATGTGGACGCTTCCGGAGCACGCTGACCGGCGCTGGCCGCGTGCCGGGCGCTGCACGACAGCCGCCGGCGG